CTGACAGCTGGGGCTGCGTCCCTAACACCATCCAGGGTTTCCTCTGGAAGTGCGGACGGGTGCGCCCGGGTCTCAGAGGGGGCCAGGCCACAGCCCCTAGGAGGCAGGACTTCTGTGGGCTGTCCCAGCACCCAGGCAGGTGCCCTGTCTTGGGGGCCGCCCAGCTGCTGTCTTAGCATCATGATGGCAATTCTTTAATTAGACCAAGCAGGGTTTTCTCGGACGGGGGTGGGAGGAGGTGTGTGGGTCTATTGGGGGAAACTAGGTCACCTGAAAACCGGCAGTCAAGAGGGAGCTGTCCTGGAGCCCCAGCTCCAGGGAACCCAGAGGGGTGAGGCAGGAGGGGCTGGCAGGGGAGCAGAGTCAGAGGAAAATGTGCTCTGGCCCCTTTTATTGGCCCTTGGGAGGCATTGTCCTCGCCTTGCTCCAGGGGGCTGGGCAGCTGCCCTTAATTCCTTCCTCCCGAGCAAACTGCCCTAGTCAAGGAGGGCATTGCAGTGAGTGCCTTCTGTCTGTCTGAGGCCTGCTACCATGGGGCCCGGGGAGGGTGTACTGCCCTGGGAATCAGACCCATGGCTTGAGGTTCTGCTCAGTCTCTGTTTCCTTGGAGCATGTTCCCCACTCCCTCGTGCCTCTGTTTTGTCTTCCATCCAATCGTCAGGGACTATGCCTGTCTTCTGCCCTGCTGTACCCCTAGCCCTTAGCACAGTCCTGGCATGTGCTAGATGCCAGATAGATATTTGTCAGATGAAATCGTCAATTCATATGAGCGTTTCTCTTATAAAATTTTCATTGAGGATCAGTAGCCAGGTGGATTTCCCAAATGCCAATCACTTACAGTTTTTGCCAACATTAAATCCCATCATTATTTCATTTTTTTTTGGCTACCACCTTGCTAGTTTTCCACTGAAATAGATTTCCTTAAGAGGGAAATTTTATATCACTGCCATAAGTAAACAGTAACTGTGAAAACTAATCCACAGAAAACAGAACAATGTTTTTGCGTTCTATCCCAGATGCCATTGCTTGCCCAAGGCTATGAGCCTGAGGCCCGCCTTCTCTTTGTTTGCAAGGGAGAGTGACATGGTTATAAGGATGGATGTTTAAAAGTCTATTAGTACCCAACTGACACTTTCTTCTGGGGAAAATCCAATAGATGAAAAAAGAAGTGAAGAACATGACTTGCTTTCTGTGAGTCCATGTTATGTGAAATCTTGTTGCATACTTTTGAAAATTCCCTCGGAGTGGATTCTCTTTCCACATTTAGGGAAACACTTGGCTGAGATGATGGGTGATGGTGGGGGGTGTCCTTAGAAAGGATTAAGGGCTTTAATTAACAGGGTAAGTGATTGGTATGCTTATTCTTATCTTTAGTCTTGGCAGGGTTTTGGTACCTCCCACTTAGTAGGTGATCAGTAAACACTCAATAGCGCAAAAAGGAGTAACTGTATGCAGAATGTTAGGGCCCAAAGTGATCTCACAGAATACTCAGACCAATCTGGCAAAAGTGGAAATGGTGTTCTCTGGTGCGTGATGGAGAATCTGCCACCTCCTGAGACCACAAGCACCTTGCTCACTTGCTTGCTGGACTGCTCTGGAGGCTGGGTGTCTGTCTTTCTGGTGCACAGCACTGCTACCCTGCACCCAGAGCCTGTTCTTCAATGGGGAGATACATAGACTCTCTTCTCTTTCTTTCTGGATATTTGGAGAATGCTGTCTCATTCTGCTTAAGACAGAGCTTGCAAACTCAGGTGACCACAGGAGCTAACAAGTGATGCCAATTAGTGAAGGAGGTCAGGTGGGGTAATGGGGGTGGTAGTGTCCCCACCTGAACGGGACAGTCCTACTCCATATCTGCAGATTGTTGCCATAGGAGCCTGGCGTGGCCAGGTGCTGAGATGGTCTAGGAAAACCTGAACATCTGATTTCGGGTATTAAAGCTTCAAGTTTTAAATGTTAGCAATACATTACTATATTATAAAACATGGTGTGGTCCAAAGCCCAACCAACAAACCAGCCAAACGTGGTGTGGACCTGGGGGCTTCCTGGTTAAGTCTGGCCCCTAGTCACATACTGCTCACCGCTGCCCCGAAGACTTCTGTTCTTTCTAGGCTGAACAGCCCCATCCTCCTCAAGCCATGTTTGTGGGTGTCGGTTCCTGGAATTCCTTCCATGATGATCAGCCCCTCTGCCTGCCTTTGAACATTGGCAAGCTCCCTCTCAGCCCATGTCTGTCCTTTTCATCTGGCAAACTCCTACTCATCGTTTCAGATTCAAATCAGTTGTCCCCTACTCTGGAGAGTTTTCCTCATCGCCTCAGGCAGACTGGCCCTTCCATTTTCTAGCTATGACATGATGTTGGGTAAACTGCTTAATCTCTCTGTGCCTCAGTTTTCTTCTCTGTGAAATGGGGATGATGATAGTACCTACCTCATTAGATTGTCAAGAGGATAAGAAGAATTTATAGATACACTGATAGACAGACAGACAGACAGACAGAGGTTTCCTAGATGGCAGAGCTAGTCCCTGATCCATCTCTGAATCAGGGCTTGTCACAGAGCAGGTGTTCATTAGATGTTAGATCACTTGAGGAAGTGGGGAGAAGTAAATATGTGATCCACTAACTCCCAATGAGGTCTGTCATGATATGATGTGGTTGGGAATTCAACTCTTTCGAACTCCTTACTTTTTAAAAAGGCAACCAAAATATCTGTCTAAATGGCTAAAATGCAAAAACAGTGATACCACCAAATGCTGGCAGAGAAACTGGATCACTTATACATTGCTGGTGGGCATGGGAAAAATGGTACAGTCACTCTAGGAAACAGAGTTTGACAGTTTTTTATAAAACTAATCATATAATTACCAAACGATCCTGCAGTTGTGCTCTTGGGCATTTACTCCAAAGAAGTGAAAACTTATATTCACATGAAGCCTGCACATGAAGGTAATAGCCCCAAACTGGATACAGCCCAGACGTTCTGCAGTGAGTGAAAGGTTAAGCAAACTGTGGTACATTCATACAATGGAATACTACTTGGCAATGAAGAGAATGGACTATGGATACACACAACAATTTGGATGAATCTCAAGGGAATGATGCTGAGTGAAAAGGTCAATCGCAAAAGGTTACCTACTATCTGGTTCTATTTATATAACATTTCGAAGTGATACAGTTCTAGAGATGGGGATCAGTTGATTGCCCAGGGGAAGGGCAAGAGTGCTTGGAGAGAGGGGAGTTAGGGAATCCTTGTGTGATGGAACTGTTTGTATCTTGACTGTGGTGGTGGACACACGAACCTACACATACGATGAAATTGTGTTAAACTAAAAACACACACACACAAAGGAGTACATGTAAAACCAGGGAATTCTGAACAGATTGATAGGTTGTATCAATATCAGGTTCCTGGTCATGCTACTGAGCATAGTTTTGCAGGATGTTATCATGGGGATAAACTAGGGAACGGTTGCATATTATTTGCTACAACTGCATGTGAATCTACAATGATCTCAAAATAAAAAGTATAATTAATTCATTTAAAAAGCATTACAAGGTATCCACAACAAAAAATAAAAGCAACCAAAGGCAGTTGGCTTGTTTTTTGTTTTTGTTTTTTTGCTGAGCTTTGCCTTTGGCTTATGTTTACTTTTGAAGTCAGGTTCACTCAGACCCTGAGGACCTTTGCCCTCTGAGCATGGCCAAGCCAACCCCTTCCCCATTTGCTTGTTTGCCCTCCAGTCTCAGAGCCGGGAGGGACCTGAAGAACAATCTGACGCAATCTGACCTCCCAGGGGTCAGGCTTACACCGTCGTTAGCCTCTGGAGGATGGGCAGTCCGAGAGTGAAGCAGGGAACCCAGAAGATCAGCAATCACTTCTTGAAGTCTAGAGCTATCCTGACCCCTGGGACCGGCAGGCATTTCCATATTACCCAAATGCAGACCTGTGGCAGTCTTTCTCTTGCCCAACACCCCACAACTCTCCACCGGCCTAGCCTGTGGGGTCCCAGATGAGCTGGGTTTACATGTCCCTGCTCTTTTCCCTCCAAGCTGTTTCTCTCTGTATAACTTTTTTGGTCAGCTCTTTTTATTCCTATTAATTCTGGAAGGTGGAGACAATATTTTACAGGTGGGAAAACAGGCTTAAAGAGTTTCAAGTGATTGTTCCAAGACCCTTTCCCTGTGTGTCTGAGAGTCCATAGGGTCGGCGCTGAATGAAGACAGGGACCAGTTAGCATTGGACTGAAATTTGGTTGACTTCATGTTGTCCAGGAGTCTATGAGAGCAAAAAATGTGATTTTAAAAAAAATTTTAAGGTCATCTGAAGAAGAAAACTTCAACCCAGATTTTCTAGGTCTCAATAGTTCAGCAATTACCAAACTTTTTGGTCTTAGGACCCCTTTATACTCTTAAAATTAAGGATGCCCAAGAGCTTTTGTTTATGTGGATGGTATCTGTCAATATTTACCACATAATAAATTAATACTGAGAAATTTAAAATATGGCATTAGTTCCTTTAAAATAACAATAAAGTCCTTATATGTTATAATAATATAACAAGCCCCTTATATGTTATAACAATATAACAACGTTATATGAAATAACAATGTAAACTTCCCCAATTAATAATTTTGTGGCATGATGGAGGTGTTAGCTAAGGCTACGGTGGTAATCATATTGCAATAGATAAATGTATCAGATCAACACTTGGTGTATGCCTTAGGCTTACACAAGGTTATCTAGGTCGATTCTATCTCAATTAAAAAAAAAAAGAAAAAGAATTTAATAGAAAAAGCAAGTGTTTGGAACACGGGGCGAGCACCACCCTCAGATGGGAATTTCGGGCCTGACCAGCGTGTCCATCTGTGTCTCTTTCCCCGCACAGGCCCCACCATGAGGCCCCAGCCCCGCAGGAGCCCCCGCGCCGCCCCGGCACCCGGCGCCCCGCGCTAGCCCGCCGCGCTAGCCCCCCGCCAGGGTGTGGGGAGGCGCTAAGGCCATGGCCAGCCACGTGGACCTGCTGACGGAGCTGCAGCTGCTGGAGAAGGTGCCCACGCTGGAGCGGCTGCGCGCCGCCCAGAAGCGCCGGGCCCAACAGCTGAAGAAGTGGGCGCAGTACGAGCAGGATCTGCAGCACCGCAAACGCAAGCACGAGCGGAAGCGCAGCGCGGGCGGCCGGCGGAAGAAGGTGTCCTTCGAGGCCAGCGTGGCCCTGCTGGAGGCCTCCCTGAGGAATGACGCCGAGGAAGGTAGGCCCCTCTGCCCCCGGTCGGCGCGGCCCTGGGTGCCTCCTGCCCGGGGCAGGGCGGCGGGGCTGGGGAGAGCTGGGCCCCCGGGGTCTGCGCCGCGGAGGAGGGGTGCTGGCCGGGCCTGGCCGGTCTCCCCGGTTCGGGCGGGCCCGCGTGTCCTGGGAAGCGCATGTTCCGAGGTGGGGCTCTGAACTGATCTTCGACTTTTTTTTTTTTTTTTTGGAAATGAGAATTCTAGCCTTTGGCTAATGAACATCACATTCATTTTCCTTCCCTCCCACCAACATCGCACTTCTTGCGCACGATTATTCTAGATGTGGCGAACAAATGGGATCTTGTCTTGCTCCTCCAAGAGCTCACTACTCGGAGGATCTGGCATTTCTTAAGCCCCTCCTCTGAGCCAGGCCACCCGTGCCGGGCGCTACGTATGCAGTCCGGTTGTACTGGGCCTCGGCGGCGGCCCTGGATGCCATAGGGCCCTAGTTACTAGCACAGGCCTGCCCTGAGCCTGCCCTCGCTTCTCAAACTGATTTTGCCGGTTATTCTCCGGGGTGACTCTGGCCAAGTAGGCAAGGCACTTGGGCTCCCTCTACCTTAGTTTCCACCTCTGTAAAATGGGGATAAATGCTAGTATCCGCCTCAAGGGCTTGCTGTGAGCATTGAATTAGTTAATACCGCTAAGTTATTGGATATGTGTGGTCCTTTGTACTCTGTGAGTGGTTATTAGTATGTTTTATTTTATTACATGATTCCTATATTTCATTATATTTATAGAATGAATGTATGTTTATATACACATTTGTATATATATAACATTTGTATAATATCATATATATATGTATAAAATTGTTTATATGTGTCCATAAACTCTGGAAACAGAGGAATATACACAATGCTGTCTAGGACATTTTCACTCTATAAAGCAAACTAATAAACACAAATGCAAATACCCACTCATATAATCTGTTTTCAGATATTATGGATACCTTGTACTTGTTACATTTTACTTAATTATGTTATTATATGTCCCCTGATCCAGATACCATGATACCCCAGAGGCAGGTATAATAAACACCCATTTTACAGTTGGGGAAACTGAGACCCAGAGAGGTTCAGAACCTTGACCAAGGTGGCGGAGCTGGGACCAGGAACCACAGGATCCAAGGTCTTGTCACTGGCCTCATGGCCTTGTAGGTTTGTTTCCCGTTATATCAATGATTGGAGGATCCATGATTCGACCAAAGCTCTCTTCTCTGAGGATGCTCTGAGGGGTCACTGCGCAGCTGAGGTTTGTGTGTGTGTCCTGTGTTCCCCTCAGCAGCCTCCAGTCCCCTCCCGGTATAGGAGGCCTTTCTGGCTGTCCCTGGAGAGGCTTGCTAGCCGTGTTTCCTGGGTCCCTCTGGCCTCCTGCCTCTGCACACCCTCCAGACATGTGCTAACGCAGTCATCAAGAGAGGGATGGCACTTGCTGCACTAGAGGGTTGGGTTTTATGCACATTGCTCCTCAGGTGCTAGCACCCACTGAGAAGCACAATTCCCCTTCTGCCTTGGTTACAAAGTGCTCTGGGAATGGAACAGAAGCATTCCCAGAACTACTCAGCTGGAAAGAGCGCAGCTGAGAGCCTGGGGTGAGCAGTCCCCTGGAGAGAGGCATGAAATGTCGGGCTCGGGGGACTGGCCCTGCGAGGCTCCTTCCCACATGAGGTGCTGGGTGACGTGGCAGACCCATCCTGCTCAGTGGGCGGCACATCAATGATGTCTAATTTGTGTTGTGGGCGGCGGTTCATCAGCTCTTCTTTGCCACTCATCTTTTCCTCCCTCCTTCCCTGACAAAGCCCTGTTCCCCTCCCTGAAGGGACTCTGTGAGCTGGCTGACAGCTGATCCAGAATGTCGGCGCCTCCCCAGCCCCGGCGTGGGCCCCACACCTAGCCGGCCTCCCACACAGACTGGTGAGAAGGAGCGCCGGGCATGGGTCCAGGACTGCAGGCCCCCTCGGCCTTGCATGTGACCTTGAGCGGCTTGTTTCACTGCTCTGGGTCCACCTTCTTAATCTGTAAAATGGAGTTTGTTTGTTTGTTTGTTTTAAAGATTTTATTTATTTATTTGACAGAGAGAGACACAGCGAGAGAGGGAACGCAAGCAGGGGGAGTGGGAGAGGGAGAAGCAGACTCCCCGCTGAGCAGGGAGCCCGATGCGGGGCTCGATCCCAGGACCCTGGGATCATGACCCGAGCCAAAGGTAGATGCGTAACGACTGAGCCACCCAGGCGCCCCATGTAAAATGGAGTTTTGAAACTTGTCCTCAAGGGGGTGTGACAAGAATGAGACAAGACCCTAAATGTGACAGCTCTCTGAAAAGTGACCCTGAATGCTGCACCAGGGTGGTGACCATTTTAACACACTCTGTTTTTAAGAACCCAAATACACACAAACACGTTCTTGTAAAAATCAACACAGAAGCATACAGAGTAAAAAGTCCCTCCCTCCACCCTTCTTTCTCTCTGTTAGTTTGATGTGTTTCCTTCCAGGCATTTTTCTTATTTGCCTGTGTATTTGTCCACTTGGAGAAACAGGGTCTAGTTGGGGTTTTTTAATTTTTGTTTTGTTTTACATAAGTGATGACATGCTGGATACATTATTCTGCAGTTTTCTTTTTCTTTTTCTTTTTTTTCTCACCCAACAAGATACCTTGGAGGTGCTTTCAATGCCAGTACCGTGGAATAATAGAGCTGTAGTATTCTTTTTAATTGCTGCATAGTATTCCATAGTATGGATTCAGCAGAAGTTTTGAACTGGTTCCTTAGTGAAGGGCATGGAGGTTTTATCAGTAGTTTTGCTTTTGCCCAAGTGAACATTTTGTGCACACGGGTAGATGTTGATCAAGGACAGATGTAGGAAAATGGAAGAGTTGGTTGCAAGGGTATGTGTATTAAATTTGAGTGAGTAAAGTGCTGCCCCCTTCGGCTGGTCCCTGTCCTTGGGACAGCCAAATGAGGGTGGAGGCCCAGAGCAGTGTGCGCTGTGGCGAGCTGTAGGGTGGGGTGAGAGGCCCCCCTGCGGTCCACAGGCAGCTGGGCTTGGGCTGGGGTGTGCCGCTTGCATCAGTCAGGCAGTCTGGCCGGGCTACGCTCAGCATCTTGGCAGCATGACAGAGCCCGCTGCTCCCAGCTGGTGGGGATGGTTTCTGTGTGCTGGCGGAGCTGGTGTTGGGGAGGCTGCAGGGGCGTTAGCTCGCAGCGGGATGGGAATGGGGGTGTCAGCTCCCCCGCTCCCTTGAGCTCACAGCAGTGGCTGAGTCAACCTCCTCCACCTGCCAGGGCAATGTGAGTCGACCCAGAGAAAGGCAGCGCTGGAGAGGGACTCACTGTACTTCCTTCTCCGGCACCGCATTGTCTTCAGGCTAACATCCGCGCACCAGGGACCCTCCTTGGTCTTGGACCTGCCTGGGATCATGACCTGAGCCGAAGGCAGATGCTTAACGACTGAGCCACCCAGGCGCCCTATGTAAAATGGAGTTTTGAATCTTGTCCTCAAGGGGGTGTGACAAGAATGAGACAAGACCCTAAATGTGACAGCTCTCTGAAAAGTGACCCCCACCCTCTTGTGTCCCCTGCCCAGCATCACCCCGTACTCCAGCCATCTCCAACTCCAGCTTCTTCCCGTATGCCCTGCGTTCTCAGACCTCCCCACCTTTGCATACGCAGTTCCCTCTGTCTGGAACACTCTTTCTCCTGATTCCTATAACCCTAGGGGTTGGGTCTTGAGTGACCTTCTTGGGGAGCAGTCTGTGAACCTTTTCTGCACCCCACCCCATCACTAGTTAGAGCAGTAACACAGTACACAGCTGATGTTTCCCGGCAGGCAGTGCAGTGTCGTGGCGAGGAGCATGAACTCTGGAGCTAGGTCTCCAGAATTCAAGTCCCAGCTCTGCCACGTACTAGCTGTGGAACATCAGCAAATTTACTCAACTTCTCGGGGTCTCAGTTTCCCCATCTGTGAAAATGAGGGGGATATAATACAACTGCCTCAGAAAGTTGTCATGGGGTTAAAATGAGTTTACAGATGTTGAAGTGCTATGCTAAGGAGTAGCTTTAAGTGCTATAAATTGTAGCTATTCTGCATCATCTATGGTCTATACTTACATAACCTATACTGGCGTATACACTGATTATCATTGTTACTGTTATTTACAGAGTGCTTACTTTGTATCAAAAGTTATCTCAGTTAATCCTCATAATGACCCTCTGCGGGGAGTCAGATCTCATTTTTTAAAAATAGCTCTATTGAGGTTTAATTGGCATATCACAAAATTTGTCCATTTTAAGTGTGCAATTCAGTGATTTTCAGTAAATTTACAGAGCTATGCACCCATCACCACAACCCAATTTTTGAACGTTCCATCACCCCAAGAGAAACTTTGTGCCCATTTGTAGTCACTCCTGATTCCCACCCCTGCCCCCTAGCCCTAGGCAACCACTAACCTGCATTCTGCCTCTATACCCTTGCCTTTTCTGGAACATTCCACTTACATGGACTCATCCAATATGTGATCTTTTGCGATTGGCTTCTTTCATTTAGAGTTATGTTCCCATGGTGCGTTCAGGTTGTGGCATGTGTCAGGATTTCATTTCTTTTATTGCCCTATAGTATTCCTCTGTATGGATATGCCGCATTTCATTTATCCATTCACATTTGGATTGCTTCCTTTTGTGGTAAGTCTTTGTTTGCACTTATGTTTTTATTTCTCTTGGGTGGTTACCTAGGACTGGAATTGCTGGGTCATACAGCAAATTTGGGTTTAACATTTAGGAAGCTGCTAACCTGTTTTCCAAAAGGGCGGCACCATTTTGCATTCTCAAACCTCATTTGACAGATGAGGACATCGAAACTCTGAGAGGCTATGTCACCTGCCAAGGATCTCATAGGTTTTTGGTGTCAGACCTGGGACTCAAACCCACATCTGATGTCTCTGAAGCCTGTGCTTTTAACTGCCAGGTGGA